TTTTTTAATAGAAATAGGGGTCTTGCTATTGCCTAGGCTGATCTTGAACTCCTGGGCTCAAGTGATCCTCCCGCCTCGACCTCCCAAAGTGCTGGATTACAGGCGTGAATCTCAGCGCCCAGCCAATATATTCTTTGTTACTTCTAACTTTCTTTACTTGCTAATCAACTCTTAGCATCTTTGATGCTCTTCTTCACTGTTCACATCCTGTCAGAAAAAACATCTTGTCCATTCTACCTCAAAAATGTGCTGTCATGGTGAACACGAACACAATACTGTGAGAGTACTGAGGAAAAAACCACTTAACTCTGCTTGGAGAAGTCAGGGAAAGCTTTAAAGTGATATTCAAAAGTTATTCTGGGCTGGGTGTGGTGACTCATGCCTGTAATCCTAGCACATCGGGAGGCTGAGGCAGGAGGATTGTTTGAGGCCAGGAGTTTGAGACCAGGCTGAGCAAAATAGCAAGACCCGTCTCTACCAAAAAATAGAAAAATTAGCCAGGCATAGTGGTACACACTTGTAGTCCCAGCTACTTGGTAGGCTGAGGCAGGAAGATCGCTTGAGCCTAGGAGTTTGAGATTACATGAGCTGTGATGACATTACTGCACTCTTGCCTGGGCAACAGAGTGAGACCCTGTCTCCAAAAAAAAAAAAAGTTATTCTGGTAAACTTCTTCCTACTCACCCTGTCGTAATATCTTTATAAGTTTTTCAAGTAGTCTACAAGATTATAAAGAGCATAAATGAGGTCTTTGTATATTAAATCTCTCACAGTATAATCATACATGGTGAGTGCTTAATGTTTCTTGAATAATAGCTATAAATGAATGCCTCCAGCTCACTTCATCTACAGTTATCTTGCTATGTTCTTTGATACTCTTTTTTCCAACCACGCTAAACTTCTCTTACCCTTCAATACTTAAGCACGCTTTTGTTAATTCTGTACCTTTGCACATGTGATTCCCTTTGCAAAATACTCTGCATGGCATCCCTCCTCTCTCCACTTGGCTAGTCCTCCTTTCATCTTTAAGACTGTTCAGATGACACCTTTCTTAAACCTTCACAGACTTCAAAGAACATAATAAATGTCCAATAAATATTTGTTAAATGAATAAACCAAGGAAATTATATTTCCCTTTAACCTTTTCTTACTGTCTTCTGGACAAATTGCTAATCATCATCTTTTCGCTCTTCCTAATCAATGTTCCAGTAACTCTTACTACTACATGTAATGTGACCTCAGCGGTTACATTTGATACTCTAAAAGTAATAAAAATAATAGCAGCTGTTATATGATGTGGGGGATTATCCATCAGACATTGAAAGGCTATCTTGACAGTCAGTACAGTGTCCTAAAAGTCAATTACAGTATGTTCTCCTGGACCTCCATGACATATATAAGAATACACGACAATTCTAGTAAGATGAATAACACGTTTTCCACTCAATCACCAGGTGCCAATGAACTGGCTGTGCAGAAAGCAAAGGCAGAAATCACCAGGCTCATAAAAGAAGAACTGATCCGGCTGGTGAGTGAAAGCTTCAAGGGCTTAAGTGTTTTATTGAACTGTCTATAAATACAGACGAGTACACAGATCACATACAGCCTGATGAATTTTCACAAAATTAGCACACCAATGTAATCACCACCCAGACAAGAAATAAGTAACATTACTAACATCCTAGAAGCCTTCGCATACCCCTTGTTGTCACTATTCATCTCTAAATGTAACCATATTGTGACTTTTAAAATCATAGATCGGTTTTGCCTACTTCTGAAATCTATATATAAGTGGAATCATGTGCTGTATACTCCTTTTATATCTAGTTTTCTTCACTCAATATTATTTTGAGGAGATCAACTTATGTTGTCGCATGTAGCAATAATTTATTCATTTTCATGGCCATATAGTATTTAATTATATGGATGTGTAACAATTAATTGATATATTGGACTTTGGGGTTATTCTGGTTTTTGGTTTTTATGAAAAAGACTCCTGTGAAATTCTCTCTTGTCTCTTTGGCACACATTGGTATGCTTTTTTCCTTGGGTATACACCTTGGAGTAGAATTGCTAATTATAGCTAAATATTGCCAAATAGTTTTCCAAAGGGGTTATGTCAGTTTATACTGCCAGCAGTGTATTAAAATTCCAGTCGTTCTACATCTTTGCTAACTCCTGGTGTTGTCAATATCGTTAAACTTAGTGACTTCTTAATTTGAGTTTCGAAAAAGCAGCCCTTTACAGACTGCCTTTCGAAAGGGAGCAGACACATCCCTGTGTCTTAGTGCCAATTTAGCTTGTAAACTCTCCCTACACTGTGTATACTGGGATCCTTTCTCTAAGAATGTGATTTTTGAGGACTTTTCTAAAATTCCCCTTGCAGAAAAATCCTTTTGTGGGGATAAGTTTAAAGAAAAGAGGATGCACAAAACAAGAGGGAAGAAGTAAAATAACCTTTAAATCAAGTGCTTAAGACTCACCAAGGAATGATGGAAATACAACCTTGTGCTTATAGATGCTACTACCATTCAGTTGATCAGAACACATTTGTCAAGGATAGTTGAGTGAACAAAGAGAAATGATGAATTATTAAAGTTACTTTTTCCTCAGTGCA